AATCTAGATTTCGCATGTGGATGATTTATGTCTAAAGTCACACAAATCGGAAGACTTGCGGGCGAAAATCAACAAACTGGCTGAAGAGGCTGGCAGCAAATATAGGACTCTAAGTGAACATAGAGAAGACAGAGGTGATGAGGATGCACAACCCATAGCAACAACAACAACAAGAAGCACCAATCACCATCAAAGGGAGAAACTTGAAAGAGGTTACTTCCTCCACTTATCCGGCTAGGAAGCATCGTTTCAACTACAGGAGATGTCAAAGGCAGCCAGAATCGGAAAGGCAAGATACGCGTTCACCAACCAGAAACCAGTTTCGAGATCTGCAGTATTCAGCATACAGAACAAGATTCTGGTTTTCAATACGAATGTGAAGTCAGTCAGATCTTCTGTACGGGTCAGAAACTCGGCCAGCGTGTGACAAAAAGCATTTCTAACAAGTTACAGACCTTTATTAACAGCTGCCTTCGTTGGCTCCATACTGAAGATCAAATGGCCAGCCGGCCAGAAAGAATTAGTAACAATGAACTCTTATTGAGGAAAACCAACCAAGGGCAGATTGCTCAACAAATATGTAGGAGAAAATGGAGATAAATCGGGTATACAATGAGGAGACCGTCGAATGAAATCGCGCACAATGCAGGTCATCGCTCTAGTGGAACCCGAATGTGAAGCGACGAGGGGGTCGTCACTTCGAGGGTGAATGGAGGAGATGAGAGATGATGGTCAATCGTGGGACTGGCCAGCTGAAGAGGACAGCAGAAAGTAGAAGAAAGTGGAGATATTTTGTTGAAGCCCAATGTTCCACTCGGAACCGAAGGGAATAATATTACCGAATCTCTATAATATCAGAAATCGTTTATCGACCAGAGTTAACTTACTATCTCAGTTTTAACTTCTACTGGACTAGATAAAAATGCTTCCATGTGTCCACTAGTTTATCTTTCCGTCAACAATTTCGCATGCAACTAAACAGTAGACCCTTTTTGTAAGAAAATACAATCTGAAAAGCACTCATCACATCATCACATCATAGATGATATATATAAATTGATTTGTTCATCTAATGTATGAAAATAACCAATTTTAATTTATTATAAGCATTCCAGTAAAACAAGACTGTCATGCAAGGAGAGGATCAATTCCTATTCGCAAAGCAGATAAATATCAGCCTTCACAATGGTCTCTCTTATTCTTCTTCTTTCTTCTCCTCTGCTTTTTTCTATTCTATTCTGACAATTGTGACGATAGCGATGATTCACATCTCTACTTTCTACACAGACTTATTCTGCCTTATTTAAAATGTATGATAAATTATCACCACTTTTCTTTTCTTTTAAGTAATATATAAAAAAACTCGACAAAACACAAAGTTTCTGTTAGCAGTGTACACTGTTTGTTATACAACAAATGGACAGTTTAGAAGTAAGAAGGTAAATAAAAGCTACCCACCCACCCACACTCGCACCTCCGCCTCGTCTTTATTTCGTTCGCCCTGTTCGCGTCAACCTCCCACACACACAGAAGTCAGCACACATACACACACACACAAAACTATACACAACCCTGTGAATCGACTTCTTTTACTCTCCTCTGTATTTAGTCACTTTCCTTAATGCCTTCTTTGCTAAATAATATTCACCTCTTTTAAATTTTGACATAAACAAAGAAACTGGGAGAAAAAAAGGAAGAGAGAGATAAGAAAAAAACAAGGTAAAGCGAATGAAGTGTTTAAAATAGTTTCGGTGTTAAATGCGCGAAGTGAATTTTCAAATATATATATATATTAGAATGCGAATTTTTGTTGTTCTTTTTGTTTTAAAGAAAAAAGTTTTTGTCAGTACACATCAGCAGGGTGTATGCATCCTTCTTGGGCTTAAAAGAAGTCAAGTCAGGATGACTTGATTTAATGGTGCAAAAACAGAAACAGAGATTGCAACTGAAATATTCGGCTGGGTAATTACTTTGTGTGAACGCGATTCACCCCAAAACTTGAACCAGTCAACTGTTTATACTTGCGTCGCGGTTGATTGAAGCCTACCGATTAAGGGATATATATATCTAGTCTCGGCACTGGATATCACACTGTCAGTTAACTGTTCCAGTTTTACTAGAATTCTTTAAATTTCACTTCTTTTTTTGTCTCTTAATTTTATTATCTGACATGGGGTATAAGTAAGTCAACAGAAGTAGTAACTGGCTATTCACACGTGACTGACCGACTGATTGACAGAGTTTTAAAGTAGAATGGTCAATAAACGTGCACTAGTTCAAATTGTGCGTCGGTGGCATAGCGGTTAGGACGCTCGCTGACCATGCACATAGTCTGGGGTTCGATCGCTGTTCGACGTACTCCTTTACCTCGCTAAGCCAGAAATAATGCTGGTGAAGAGGAAAGGTTGGGCATGAGGCTAGCAACCTCATCCTCTAAAAATTAAACACTGCTACAGAAACTTCAAGCCACTAGCTTGAATCTCTATGTTCCACTGGGGAACGTGAAGGAAAAAAAAGTTCAAGTCGCCAGACTCCATTTAGCACACAAAAGTAGTGAAGGGAGAAATTCAGAAAGGCTATAATGAACAGAAATTTACTGCATAAAGGATAGCGGTGTGGAAACACACGATGATTGAATGGATTTGGTGAATATAGAGAAGAGGGAATTTGAAATGTGTGACTTCCTTCACTTATCTGACTAGGCACCATCCTTTCAATTACACGTGATGCCATGGAAAAGGATATTAAAGCCAGACAGAATTGGAAAGGCAAGATAGACATTCATCACGCTAAAATCGGTTTGGAAATCTTCTGCACTCCGCGGCACAAAGAACAAGATTCGGATTTTCCACACCAGGCTTATGTTAGTTCTTTATGGCTCAGAAATTTGGCGCGTCATGAAACAATTTTGAACAGGTTAACAGACTTTCATCAACAGCTGCTTCACTTCTTGGTGCAGGTCAGACGGCCAGGAAGAATTAGCAAAAAGGAACTCTGGGAACGAAGCAATCATGGACTGGTACCAGAAGTGCTTCAGATGCAGCTGCAGTCTTTCATCATAGCATCGTCTCCAGTTTAGGCAAAGGGGCTAAATTTGTTCATTGTGCCTTCATAGATTACACATTTGCTTATGACTCAATACTTAGGGATATTTTGTTAAATAAGCTTACTGAGACTCAAACTGACTGTTGGGCTGTTAAATGGCTCCATTCTTATTTCTCAGGAAGAAAGCAGTACAATGTATGCTAGGGAAAGTTGTCCACTTCATTGCTTACTGGGGCTGGTGTCCCTCAAGGCTCTATTTTTTCTCCTTCTCGGTTTTCTTTCTTCTTGCATGACTTGACTCACTCTGATGATGAAATGAACTTTGTTAAGTATGCGGACGATGTAACTGTTTCAATGCCTGTCAACTTCCAGTTAGACTGTACTGAGATGAACAGCAAATGGTCTTCGTCTAATGGCCTTAAACTAGATCCTTCCAAATGTCAGACTGATAATTTCAGTTTCCGATGTAAAATTGACGATAGTAATATTGAAGTCAAGTGTGAAGTTAAGTATCTTGGATTAATTCTTTTTTCTGACCTATCCTGGTCTTCCCATGTCTTAGCGATTTCTAAATAAAATATTTCGTCTGACTTTTTACATTAAGAAGTTAAGGCACTCAGGCATAACTCAACCCCTCCTCCTCTTACAGTTTGTCAACTCGTGCATCTTACCTATTCTTCTTTACTGTTCACCCTTATTCTTTCCTGGATTGCTTAAAAAAGACTATGTCATACTTCGTAGAACTCTGAAGACTGACCGTCAGTAGGGCGAGTAATGGTGTCCTATTCCATTCGGCCATATCGTTGACATTGCCGTTGATAGGTAATTGATGTCATGCAACAAATTTGCAAAAATGTATTTTGTCAGACTGTGAGCATCCACTGCAGCACCCACAGCTCCAACCTTGTGTCTCCTCAGGGAAAACAAGAAGTCTTTTCAGAAGACTTTATGCACATACGTCTAAGTATAAAAATCCCACTATACCATATTTGGCACGTAATTTATGTGTTGAAAATAGTGTTAGGCATGAACTAACTAACTAACCTCCTTTGCACTATTGAATAAACCATTTTCTCCACCCTTACAACATCAAACTTTATTGTTATTGTATTTCTTATATTTATAATCCTTTCAATTTTTTGTTTTTATTTGTTCATTTTTTCATAAATATGAACATCATTTAAGCTGTGTCATAACTGTTAATTTTGTATTTCTCCTGACCATGCTGCTATATCAACAGAACATTAGGTTCAATAATCTATGACATGCTAGAATTTTCAAACTGAATCGACAATACTGTTTGAAACAAACTCACTGTTATTATTTTTATTATTATTATATTAGTTATTCTCAATTCGTACTTCGAATATTTTTGACTTTATATCGTAAATGTGGACAAATTCCTCTGGTTAACTTTGTTTTAATTTTATTTATATTTTGAGTAAATCAGATGCAATATTGTGACAAATGGTGAGAGAACTCCATCCTGCATTAGAAGTACTGTTTTTGGAATAAAGTAGATTGTTATTGTTATTGTTAATGGCAACTAGCGACACCGAAGACAGAGAAGACCTATCTCCATTGAAGGCTGAAACTCTTAGATTACTCAAGATCATTAATCCCTAATGTTTTTTAAAAGAAGCTAATCGATGGCTGTCAGTGAATACTTGCTTTATTCCAAAAATAGAAATACTAACAGTTATATACCTGGAAGTCGCCAGCATATGGGATTATTTTTCGACGGATTTATTAATTTTCAGATTTTGCAAACATGGTTTTTCAGGATAGTTAAGATGGCGATAGGTTATGCTTGATACTTGGCCAAGGCAAACCATCTTGAGTACTTTTCATATCCACATTTCTGTTATTAGATACAATTTACCGTAAAAAAAGATATTTAAAGTTACCTGTAATTTTTTTTTGCATCTTTCATCTACATTTTTCTCCTACATTAGACTGAACCCGATAACAGCTGAGTCAGACGGTTTCTGTCAAGAATTTCACAGTAATGTATGCGGGAAGTATCTTATGGGTCATCGTGTCTATGTTACAAGAGAATTCCAACAAGCACTTATTGAAGCACAAATATCGAAGTGTAAGTTTCATGTTCTCGTATGATTTGATACATGTTATGCATGAGGTAGTTTTGTCTTTATCCAGTGTGAAATAATCGAACTACCTCCCTGAAACGTTTTAATTTTAAAGTGAGCTCAGTATATAAATAAACTCATAAGCAAAAAAAGAAGTGATATGGAGGAGAAAAGAAGTCCTTCTATTCGATGATCACCAAACTAGCCTCCATTTTTACATGGAAACTTGATGGATACGTCTATACTGGAGATGCTTAATAATTAAAACATTCGCTAGCCTCCAACCTAGGCCACCGAATGACATCGCACGCCAGGCCCTCGAGTGGGTCGTCCTAGATTGACATAGAGGAGATCGTATGAGGAAGAGATAAGAGAGTTCGGTCAATCGTGGACCCAGCTGAAGAGGACGGTAGAAAACAGAACAAAGTGGAGATGTGTTGTTGAAGCCGTATGTTCCACTCGGAACGCAAGGGAATAATAATAATAATGAATAATTAGCGTCCAATCTAATGGCCATAATGACTTATATGTCTTCAAATGTGAATATGGTTATGAAAAGACGCCGGAAGACCTGGACTTCACAGATGATTTACGCCTAGTATCACAGAAACACGAAAATCTACAGGAGTAAAGCAACAAACTGACAGAAGACACTGGAGAGATAGGACTTCAAATGAACATAGAGAAGACAGAAGTGATTAAGGTACCCGACGACCAACAACCAAAAGCATAAAAGAAATTTAGTGGAAGTTACCTCTGTCGCTTATCTAAGCAGCATCATTTCAGCAGCTATAGACGGCAAAGCCAAACAGGGTCGTAGAAGCAATACAAGCTTTCAATACTCTGAAATTAGTGTGGTTTGTTGTACTGCTGTACTAAGCATAACAAATAAGATTCGAATTTTCAACACCACTGTTAATTCACTTCTTCGATAGGTTTTCGGGACTCAGAGAGTCACCAAAAGCCCCATACTGGAGATTAATTAGTTTTCCAGAAAGGATTAGTGACAAGTAACTCTTGGAATGAACCAGCCAAGAACCTACTGACCAACAAATATCCCGAAGAAAATGGAAGTGAATCAGACGCAGTCTGAGGAGGCATTGAGTGACGTCACACACCATGAAATCGGGTGGAGGCCAAATGGCGAACGATAAGGAGATTGTGTGAGGAGGGGACGAAAGCTAACGAAAAGGGACTGCAGTGAATAAGTTCAGACGAAGGTGTGCTACTTAAGGCAACCGAAAAATAGTAATAACAATAACTCTCTAACTGATATCAATCCGTGATCAACTCGCGAAAACAAAACTAACCCCTACAAACTAAATCTGATGCTCGCTAGTGACTTGCTACACAATCAAGTTGCCTGAAGTGAGTTCTAGTTAGAAGTTGTGACCAGTGAGGTCCATCCAGTCACGTGTGATGAAGTATGTCCCAACGACGACATCGGTTGGGGTCGCGCTAAATCACGGATTGGTAGAAGTTTGAAATCATGGGCTGGCTATTGAATCGGGTCCCAGTGTCTGAATAGTATACAAGCTAGCTGGCCTTGTAACCGGAAGATCTTCAGTTCGAACCCCAGTGGTTCCGTAATGCCCATGATTCCCAAACTAGGCTAGTGAAATAGCTGTCCAGTACTCCCTGGTTTTCAATTGTTCTCTGACTGATATCAATCCGTGGTCAAACTCGCATAAACAAATCTAGTCCTTACAAACCACCTATAGAAAAATAACAATAATAATAATGATAATATCTAACCAGGAATACAGTTCCTTACTCCATCAATATTTACATAGTAACTTACTAATTAGTGTCAACTTTCTGTGTGTGTGCAAGTGGTAGGCGGAGAGAGAATGCATCAAACCGTATAAGGATTCTCAAGAATTTCATACTTCTAAACATGAAAAATTATACTGAAAAATGTTAATGGTATCATTGCGGAAGAAAAAAAAGAGTGCAGACACTGTACTCTAATGTTCAGTTAATGACTGTCAGTCAGTTCACATTAAAATGGTGTCAATATTTATAACTTTGAAGTAAATATGAGAAGCTAGCTGAGTCATACACAAAGATGTTTAATGTGACGAAATTGTGGTGATAAAAAAAATGGAATGAATTCAAGACACACACTCTCTCTCTGATGAACAAACATATATTTGAAGTAAAAAAAAACATAACATAGATTAAAAAAAACGGTATTTGTGTGCATATCCACTGTGATACTCACTTCACACGTTTAATACAAGAATGGACTAGTTAAATATAAAGGTCTACACTTTACCAATACGGATATTTAACAAGCATTTTGTAGCATGTTTAATGGACACGGAGTTTAGCACTTTCATAAATATAATATCCGAATAAATGAGAGAAAGTTGAGACTAATAATTAGTGTTATTTACTATGCAAACATTGACAAAGTGAGGAATTGTATTCCCAGTTAAATATTATTATCATAATTTTATCCGTGCCATACATAGCCTGTAGCTGGAACAAGTGGAAGCGGTGACCTTCTTTAGATTTCTCCCATCGATAGTGATTTGGTGTGTGATGTTGTTGCCTGTACACTGACATACCAATTAATACGGATGGCCTTAGAAGTAGTAGTTAAAAGGGAACTAACTTCTGATTACCGAACCTAGTCAAAGAACAGAAGCTTTCCATTGAGAAAATTATTTTAGGAATTCAGTTATGCCTCACATCTACTACTATCTTTAAATTCCAAGGCAAAATATATAGACAAACAGGAGGTGTAGCAATGGGATCACCAATATCCCATATCGTAACATATATCTTCATGAACAACAGGGAAAATATAGTCATTAATACATTCATATATGTCCAAACCAAGTTCACTTTTAACGGTTTGAAAACATTTGGGCATTGGGTATATGATATTCATTATAATAAAGGTTTTTGTATTTCCCAATGAATGAAAAACAAAACAATATTGTTTTTACTGACGTTTCACTATTTAATGCTAATAGCTTTATCAAAGTATTATTAAACCGGAATTTACAAAATCTTAGCATATATATGACAAACAGTTAGGGGGTGAGAAAATAGACTTAGGTCAAGTTAACGGGACATATTGAAAGTCAAAATAGCAATGAAGATCACTAAACCAAATAACAAAGGTAATAATACGTCTGTTATGATATCAAAATAAAGTTTACTAACTTGATCATCGTTCGTCTGTCTGGGGCATTTTTAGTTGTCAAGTTGGTCAATTGGTAAAGATAACAAAATCAAGTGTGGATTGTTGGATTTGATCGGTGTGTAAAATTATAAAAGAAGTGTGTGTTTACATAGTGAACTTGCTTATCACTTCATGGGGGAGGGGATGGAGGTGTTGTAACCAGGTCAGATTCTGTTTTAGTCCCTCATTCCTATTCGGGCAATTTTGATTCCACTTAATATGAAGTGCTTCTGATATTAGACGTTCTTTGTGATTTCTGAAGTTTTTCTGAATTATTTCAATATTGTCAAAATCAATTTTGTGGCCTGATTCTATAGCATGTAGACCTATGGCTGATGATTTTTCAAGTTTTTGTAGTTCAACTGGATTTCTCGGTGGTCGAAGAGATGCTCTACGGTGCTCATTTCTTCTGATTTTGATTTCTTGAGATGTTTGTCCGATGTATATCGCATCACATTCCAAGCATTTTATTTTATAGACACAATTAGATAGAGAATCTTTAGGGATTTGGTCTTTCATATGGACAAGGTCGCTTCTCAGCGTGTCTGATATTGTGAAGAAAACTCTGATGTCGAGCTTACTGAGTACTTTTCTAATATCGTCTGATGTCTCCGCACTATATGGAATAACAACTGTTGAGGTCCATGCTTTCGGAATGCGCTTCGGCCATACTTAATGTCTGTGTTGATTTTGTTGATAAACTTCTTAGGGTAGTTATTTTGCTTGAGAGTCTCAGTAATGTTTGATATTTCTTCTTCTTTTTCTTTCTCGTTGGTTATCAGAGAGTGTGCTCGTCTAAGAAGACTTGAAACAACTGAAATCTTTGCGCTGATGGGGTGTGATGACTTGAATTCTAAATATTTATTTGAGTGGGTTTTCTTCCTGAATATGGATATACTGAAATGTCCGTTTTCACTTCTCTTAACTAGGCAGTCTAGAAATGGTAGTTCACCGACGTCTGATTCTGCTTCCGAAGTGAACTGGATTCTGAGAGATACACAGTTTATTTTCTCCAGGAATGAATTGTGTAGATCTCGTTTTAGTACTACAAAAGTATCATCTACATATCTTAACCATATTTTAGGAGTGAGTATGCTTGAAAAGATGTTATTTTCGAATTTATTCATGAAAAGGTCGGCGACTATTGGGGAGACTGGTGAACCCATAGCAACACCATTTGTCTGTCTATATAAACTCCCTTTAAGTGTAAAATAATTATTTTCCAGACAGAATTTTAAGCTCTTAATTATTTCACTGGTGTCCAGTGAACACCTTTGTGATAGCGTTGTATCTGATTCTAGAAGACTGGAAATGATATCAAGACTTTCGGTAATAGGGATACTAGTATATAATGAGTTAATATCATAGCTTACCATAATGTCTTCTTTATCAATTTCTCGGTGTTCTATTTGGGATTTGATAATAATGCTTTGATAAAGCTATTAGCATTAAATAGCGAAACGTCAGTAAAAACAATATTGTTTTGTTTTTCATTCATTGGGAAATACAAAAACCTTTATTATAATTAATACATTTAATCCTACTCTAAAAGTATGGTGGAGATAAGTGGGTTACACTTTCACAGTGTTGAAAACAGAACATATCTTTAGCTTCTTGACACATTTAACTCACTAGTAGAGGGAATAAAATTCAAATTTGAATCCGAAAGTGAACAAGGAGAATTAGCTATGTTAGATTGTAAAATAAAACGAACAGAAGAAGTTAGACTGCACACTAGTGATTACAAAATGCCAACGCACCCTAATAAATATTCAAACTTTAATTCATCTCATCCGTTATCTGTCTGTAAAGGCTGGCTTATTTAAGTGCCTAACAAACCGAGCAATAGCACTATGTAGTACAAAAAAAGATGCAGTCAGATTGTCGGAACATAAGAATTTAGCTAAGGTGAGAAAAGTTGACCACGAGAAGATAAGTAATTTAGAAGAAAGCTCAGCGACTGCACTGCTTGCATTAACACACAACCACACAATAGAGCGTTGGAGGGTTAAAATTCTAAGAGGTTATATAAGTAGGTGGAGAAAGAGAGGTTGATTACTGAATACTGGTTCATCGAGTCTACACTCAACACATGCACAATCGAAATGACTCAATGCAAATACCAGAGATATGGAAGACAATATTACCACCAGTCAGTCAAATCAGAGGAGGATAGTAAATAATCTTAAAATTCTATTTCAATTCACTTACATCATAACATTCTAAGAAGTTACTTATTTTGACTATAAAAACACTCGTCTTATTTCCCATCTGATTGTATTTGATTGATAACACTCATATTATTATTTCTGACTGTACGTTACCTTACACTGATTTTTATTCGAATGTCTAATCATCAATTCCACTCATGTATATAAATGAAGCAAAAAGTTGTGAGAGTAGTGACTTCATATGATTATGAGCAGTAATAAATTGTGCTCGAAGCGTGGTCATCAGTTAACATTACTATAAACACTGTGTGATTTATCAAAATAAAATCTTATCTATAATGTAGTTCTCTATGTTCTCTTGGAGTCTTGTTTTGCGCTGCCTTTTCTTCCAAGTTGTTGCTTTTCACATAAAGATTTTCGATTTGATGTGACACATTCAGCATAAGTCATCTACAAAGTCCAGACCTTCTAGAGTTTTCTTGTCGACCCAGCATATTCCTGTCTTGTCGCCCCTCATGATCTGCCGCATAATCCAGTCCATCTCTGTCAGGAGAATCATCTGTCATAGTTGAGTATGAACATGGTGAATAATAATAATAATAATAATCTTGTCAGTACAGTCAACACGAAGCGTAGCTTCCTCCAGCCAGTCTACTGCCTTCCCAAAGTAAATAAATAACTAACACTGACAATTATTCTAAAGTTTTTAATCAGTGTACATTCTCTTTTTAAGTATTAGTAAAAACAAAAAAAAAGTAGGAAAATTACTTAAGAGCTTCCATTTAGCACAGAAGTTTCGTATTTTATTTCTTCTCATATCCGAAATTTTCATACACACTTTCTTCATATTGTTTTTGTATACGCATATTGAATGAATACACCTGCATAAATCAGCAACACGAATGGCATCATGTTTCTTGACGTTTGGTACACACACATGGTATCTTAATCGTCAACACAGCGAAATGAACACCTGTTTGACCTAATTATTCCCTAAACTTCCACTGTCACAAAGCTGGTATCACTTTATGCATATATATATATATGTATATATATATGTACTGACTGAACACTAGCCATTGAGTTACGAATTATGTGACAATCTTACTTGAAATAGTAATCAAAATGTGACATTCTTCGTCGACCAACAACTTAAAGTTAAAATTTTTTGATACATATATGCATGATGTGTATATGTTTTCAGATTGGATACCAGTTTGTTACTAGTGTCATGGTTCTAGGATCTTTGTGCTGGGGGCAGACTGAGTCCTGTCGGTCAAGTCTGTGACCATTTGACCACCATGCTAGATGACTCGCCCTCATGGTGCAGTCTGAAATGTTATTATTATTTGGTTGCAGGAAGGCCTACGTTGACCTAGGTTTCGTGCTTGTTGGGATCCATCAGCAACAGCTTTTTGAAATTCAAACCCTAGTCACGCGGTACTGAAGTCAGAGACTTTGTCACTGAGCTATTCGGTATCGCTAGTGACCTCTTATAGGATTGCAATGGATATTTTCGTTGGACACTAGGTAATAACTGATGTCATCATGCATCTAGTCCTCCGTTTTGTGAATATACTTATTTTCAAGAGTCGATTTTTAAGTTGAGGATAGTTACTCATCGAAGAAGACATTACGAAGTGGTCGCGCTATATTGTGAATTGGCAGAAGTTAGAATTCATGGGCTGGCTATCGGACTGGATCGGGTCCCCGTGGCTTAAAGGTCAACTAACTAGCTCGCTTTGTAACCAGAAAGTCCTGGGTTCAAACCTTGGAGGTGGATGCGTACTGATGAAGAGTCCATTACAAGAGTGACGAAACAGCTGTCCAGTATATATATATATATATATATAAACAGTCATTAAACGTGTTCGTATAAGTGAATTTAATGCACTATTTTTAGTCTAGAACTTATATTCTATCATACATTGAAGGTAGTGGGCGTGGTTTATCATGGTGTTATATGCAAATCAGTAGCCTTTTTTTATTCATAATTTTTCACACGTAACTAAGCGACTAAGTGAAAGTCTACATTAATTAGTTTTATTAGTATTTTCCCCACTGGAGAGTGAACACGCCACATGAACACAAAACTGTTAAATTTCCATTATAAATTACTATCATAGTGTCAAGAGAATCTTCACTCACTTCACAGATTAAGTGTCCTACTTGTAGACTAAAGTGTCTTCTCTGAAAGCAGACAAATTTAGCAAAATATTATTGCTGACCGTAAGGAAAATGAATATAATTGTAAGTCTGATGAAGTCAAACGGAAAGATAAGAAATGTAGTGTTAAGCGTTAAACGCCCACATGATATTGCGCTGCCATTTGTCTTGTTTTACAGCGCATGATAGGAGAAGATATGAAGCTATATCAGTTTATAATATCCTCACACTCCAGTTTTTAGAATTTTTACTCAATGTAGGCAATGGCATAGCTATACAAATACCTTAAAACATGGTAGACAATCTAGTTCATGTTACCCCTAGTTTTCTTCAGTATTCTCAAAGACAAACAGTTTTTGAGACAGCTTTTTTTTCTGTCTGGCCGTTCTCGTTATGTACCTATGTGATTCCTTGACAAGCTCAAAGCAAAACTGAAGTGTAAGAAACTATACTTACTTAAATTGAAATAAGTAGTAAGGCAAATAGGCATAAATAAATTGCACATATGTGGGAATGATTATCTCCGATGTAGGCTCATTTTCTATAATATAACAGGAAAGGATTGGGAATAATTAAATATTGAAACTTGTCCCTATCAGTCACTTAATCACTTCCAATATTGACACTTTTATCGTCCTGCTGAAAAATGACAGCTTTCAAGCCAGGATATTAGTGAGTGTCTTTACTTGAAGTTATATGTTGGAAATTCCCAAGAATTATTACTATTAGATGTATATGAAGCAACTTTTATTTTACTTATGTCACGAATTCCAAGGAAAACTTCTTATGCTAATCCATTTTGTGGCTGGAATTTCATCAGAATAAGACTTGAAATATAAAGTATCTTCAGGATAGATTATGAAAAAGACGTTAACTAGAGATTTGTGATCTAGTAATATGTTCGTTATTTAGCCTCACTTTTCACTTGACTTTACTTACATGTATTTCAGTTTTATCTTCCTATAAAGCAAAGAGTTACACAATATACACCACTGATTGGTAGTGTTGGTAACCAGTCACACCTGCTGGTATTGTCTTTCATCGTCAAATTTTTCATTCCTTTGCTTTCTTGGTAGAACACGGAGTTTCAGTAGTGCTCGTGCTGTCTTTGACGAGCTGTTTTGCTGGTCTCACCTCAAATGGGAGACAAACCTCGACCAAGTGAGTGACTGGCGAGCTCAGTGACCATCTTAAGTTAATCTAAGCACCAAACAGATGTTTCTCTCCTGTGACATTTAAGCTGGCTTTCTTATTGCCAACCTCAATGCCAAGTGTATCACATTCGTCTACCTCAATGTACGGTGACGATAATTCCATCTTCAGTTGTATGGCTGATGAACAGGCGACTACTTAAATAGACGGTGTTGTATACGTAAACGTACTGCGGTCAATACTTAGTGAGATGGGGAAGTTAACGTCTGAGGCTATTAGGCAAACGTTGTTCTCCTTATTCGCAATGTTCTAGACAGGATGTTTATTGTAATCTCTTTATTTTTTACTGTTTTTTTGTTTTTGTTTTTTCAGTTCTTAAGCTTACTGCAACTCAGTCCTTACATCATGTAAGAGAAGATTGTTTACGACGTCTAATGGAGGCGATCTGCTACTACAACTTTCCAGTATGCTTAGAAACAAAACCGATTTCTTATGAAAATGAACTGGCGTCTAGAGAGACACAACCAATAAACGATAATGCCTATCAGATGCGTCATCTATGCCGACAAGATTGTGAATTGGTGATGCAAAATGAATGTGGACCGACTTATGATTATTTAGATAGAAAAATACTGCATGATTGTAAGTCGTATGCCCATTTTTTCACCTTCTTACCTCTGTAATTTGAAGTCACTTTTCGGATAGTAAGGATTTATTTTTATTTATCTTTCTGCTTGTTTAAATGCCTTCTTAAGAATAATCATTGGTTGTATATATAGAAGCGTTTGCGCTGTTTATTTTTGTGTAACACGATGATGATTAACAGCAGAAACGAACTCTGTGCGGCGAATACATTCAAATCTGTAACTTAATCCCGTCTAAATGCTGATTCAGCCAACAAAGGTTTGGCCTAGTCATCTCATGAATATGAGACACAACAAACCCCCAGCCAGTAAACACCCTAGACTGTTGGTTAGAGTTTGAAATTTCTTTCTGCTTAATATGTCAGCGTGTTTTTTTCTCACTTTGGTTCAGCCAACACTGAATTTAATCACATTAGTCCACGAGACCCATGAGTAGTCTCAGTTTCTATTGAGAACTGATATCAGTTGGAAAACCATTGGAAACCAGGGAGTGCTGGACAGTTGTGTCGTCCTCATCGGGACTCTTCGGCAGTATGCACACTTAACGCTGATGAGGACAGAACCCTGTACTTTCAAGTTACGAGGCAAGGTCGTTGACCACTGGGACGGAATCAAATATCCCATGAATTCTAGCTTCTCTCAGTTCATGATTTCCAGCTTCAGTACCACCCATTGTCGTCAGCGAGTATTTGTTCCCACACCCTATCTGATGGACTCCATCGGTCACAACTTCTCAGTGGAATTTTAGGCAACTTCAGTCAGGTACATGAAAGACCTTCAACATATTATTAAATCGCACATTGAATCAACAATATCTCTGATTTCGAAATTGGGAACGAAAGTCAGGTACTACGATGAAGTAGTCAATGGTTTGAATATCGCATGCTGGATCATGTTTATGAGTTTTATTCAGGTTCTCCAATATAAAAAATAGATATAAATTTTTTTCATTGAACTCTGTCGAAAATGCCTGACGCCTTTCCATAAATTCCTGTGAAGTTTATCTTTAACATGCTTTGAAGTAAAATCGAATTGAAATTGGAGCACTTTTCTTTGGCGTTTACTTTTATATTCCGAACAAATTTATGAAAAGAACTGATGTGTCGGCTCAATGATGCTCTTGTCCACGCCAAGTAAAGTACTAAGTTGCATCATCCTGGAGAGAATAAAGGATGCACTGGATAGAGAATTCCGCCCACCCAGAACAAGCTGGCTGGATTCAGGAAAGGCAATCATGTGCTGATCAAATCTCACCTCTGCGTATCGTCACTGAATGAAGCATACATAGAATGGCAGTCAAACCTCTCTCCACCCCAAATTCATCGACTTCGAAAAGGCCTTCGACAGACAGCGTTGACCGAGAAGTAATTTGGAAACTGCTTCAACACTACGGCGTGCAGTACCCGAGGTCTCTTTCAACCTCATACAACAGCTGGCTATATGACAGTGTCACGTGTCAGGTGATCCACAACAGAAAACTCAGTGACGCGTTCGAAATGCACACAGGAGTAAAACAAGCTGGCTGACTATTATCACCAATAATATGCTTAATTGTGGTGGACTGGATTATGTGTCAGACTGTGCATGGGAGCAAGGAGACAGGAATACGCTGGACTACCGATGAGAAGATTCTAGAAAATCTGGATTTCGCGTGTGGATGATTTATGTCTAATGTCACACATATTGGAAGAATTGCGGGCGAAAATCAACAAACTGGCTGAAGAGGGTGGCAGCGAAGATAGAACTCAAAGTGAACATATAGAAGACGGAGATGAAGAGGATAACCAACCAACCAATAGCAACAATAACCAGCATCAATCACCATCACTGAGAGAGATTTGCAAGAGGTTACATCCTTCATTTTTCTGGCTAGAAAGCATCGTTTCAACCACAGGGATTCGGAACGGATGAAGATGTCAAAGCCAATAAGAATCGGTATAATAGAGAAGATTTGTAGCTCAGGTGGATGATTTTGGTGTGGTTGTGTTCTCTGAGCTGGATGGTTTGGTTGCGAAGCTTTCATTGCTCTACTGAGCAACATCTTCAGCGCATACTTCGATGCGACTTCACATCGAAGTATGCGCTGAAGATGTTGCTCAGTAGAGCAATGAAAGCTTCGCAACCAAACCATCCAGCTCAGAGAACACAACCACACCAAAAAAAACCCAATAAGAATCGGAAATGTAAGACACGCCCTCATCAACCTGAAACCAGTTTGGAAATCTTCTGTACTCTACCGCAACATAAAGAACTAGATTTGGATTTTCAATGCAAATATGAAGTCAGTCAGTTCTTCCATACGAGTCATTAACTTGGCTCGCGGGTAGCGAAAAGCGATTTCCAACAGGCTACAGCAAAACATTTACCAACAGCTATCCCCTTCGCTGGCTCCACACTGAAAATCAAATGGCCAGTCAGTCAGCCATCCAGAAAGAATTAGCAACAAGAAACTCTGGCTGGCAACAAACCAACCAAGGGCCGATTGCTCAACAAATATGTTGGGAGAAAATCGAGATGGATCGAGAATACGTTGGGGAGGCTGTCGGACGACATCGCGCACCAGGAATAAACGTCTTTATTAACTGGGTTTTCCTTTGTGTTCCTGATCTTAGGTATACTTCTGCATAATGTGGCTTTGCTTGACTCCAAGGGAAGTGATGTTGGATTGGTTAAATGTATATTGCAGTGTACAGTGTGTGTTAAGACGGTGATGCTGGCGTGAATACTTAATTTAAACAAAACAATTTTAAGCACATTGTGTGATTATTGATCAAATGAAATATTTATCGACTAATTTTCTTGTTTAAATCCAGTACCAGGTATGATAATGGACTGTTCACGTTTGCCAATTTATTCGTCAGAAAATCCACAGACTTGCAGGCGTATAGGAGAACCCTTGGTTATATCTGATCAAGGTAAGACAGTCTGTTCACTTATTCTTCTCCATTCACTTATATGCTAGAGTGTTCTAACACTTTGAACTTTAACTGTGGAGATTTTTTGGCAGTAGGTACTATAAAGACGAGAAAAGCGAATATTTTTGTTCTAAAAAGTGTTAAGACTTGCCCAAGTCTATGCTTTCACAAATGCTTCTCTGACATCAGTGATCCCCCGCCTGCCTCCCTCGTTTACCTCTCCAGATTTAGGTAGTTGCAAAGAAGCTCTGATGATATCCTAACTTTTTTGTATCTCAGTATGTTGCTGAATTTCTTTAGTAACAAAAGGGTGGTACTTTTCTGGCTGTAATGTAGGCGAAAATGCAACGGACAAATGACCTTGAAGAGGCACCAACCACATGACAAAGGCGACTTTCGTGTATGAAATACATATTATATTCATGGAAATAATGAATTGAAAGGCATGAAACTGTTACACAGGATACCCTTCTTTGACGTGTGACGAAAGTACCTCTCAGTTTTGGATTGGAGTGTAAACAGAGTCATTTGACCACACTATATGCACGTAATTATCTAGGTCTTCTAAACCTAACAATAACCCTAATCTTTCCTTAATCTAACCCTAATGTGAAAATATCTGTAAACTAACCCTAATCTAACTCGAACCAACCCTAATGTTGCCCTCATTAGGTCAATCTAACCCTAACCGTAATCTTTCTCAAACCTAGCCTGAAACTTAGATATGAAGAAGATTTGTAGCTCAGGTGGATGATTTTGATGTGGTTGTGTTTTCTGAGCTGGATAGTTTATTTGCGAAGCTTTCATTGCCCCCTACTAGGCAACATCTTCAGCGCATACTTCAATTGATTGAAGTGAGCTTTTAGATTTCTCCATGAGTACTTTATTAGTCATCTCTCCTGATGACGTTGAACATGATTGGTGGTTTTTGTGTGTTTTCACACCTTCTAGGCTACTTGTATTGGAACTGATTGTTTCCTTGACTTAAACTTTGACCGCTTTGTGTGTGAGATTTCCTTCTTATCGGTTGGTTAATTTTGTCTATCTTGATGTGTCTATTGATTGACGATTCACTGGAATACCAGGCTTCTACAAATTCTCTAGCATTCTTGGTGTTTCCTTTGTCTAATATTTGAACGCTGGTTGTCCTAGTCGAATTGATGTTCGTGGTTGTCTGTTTGCAGTGAGGCGATATGAGGGAGTGGATATCATGTCTTTTGACTGATAGCTTATGTTCATGAATACGAAGACGAAGGGGATGTCCACTTTGACCAATGTAGTGTTTTTCGCATTTGTTACAATTTATTTTGTAGATGATGCTAGTTTTATCTTTTTTTCTGTTGAGTCTTTTGGTTGACATAGAGCTGAGTGAAGTATTCCAGTGATTCGTCAATCAATCAAACCTAACTTGAAGCTTGCCAGATATCCCATTTAGTAACATAACACTTGATTAAGCGTATTTTATTCATGATTACGATATTATTTACTAGGTTCCACCAACTTGCTCACTGAGCTTTTCAAGGTCATTGGTGCGGTCGCAATCCATTGGTACTTACTGGTGCTTAAAGTTTAACTTGACTGATTTCACCTAGAGAACTGTTCTAGCTGTGTTCTAAGTGCATCAACTCATAGTACTTATTCAGACTACTTGAATTCAAATTTAATGTTTCCATTTGATTTTAATTTTGCTTTTGTACAGTCTCAGAATACAGACATGATAATGACAGAGAATTCTGGGAAGAGAATCACGTAGCTGCACCTTCACCTGACCAGTTAGTAGAGAAAAAAGAAGTAGGCACAATATCACCAGGTCAAGATTTAAACGCTGCCCTGTCAACTGGTCCTGATTTACTGCCGATTTTTGTTTCGTTCGGAGCATTGGCTTTACTCGGCCTCCTCCTTCTAGCTGTCTGCTTTCTCTGTCGGCATAGTGCAAGTGATTCTCCACGTTTAACAGCAGATGGTTCAAGTTTCCTAGGCAGGTCACGTATTAGCAGTAACTGTCGTGGCAATCGTGACTGCTCAGAATCTGAAAGACTCAATGGATTTCATATCAGAGGACAAGGAGTCGGAGCTCCTAATGACTCAAATCACAGCAGCAACAAACAAAGAAGGGTTCCTGGAATGGGAGCTGGTGCAAAACTTGGCGCTACAAATGGTCTTTTTAATGGCATGGTGCATGAAGCTTTCACACCTGCCTACTGTGGTGGTGGTGGTGGTAATGCTGTGTGCAATACAAGTGAGGCGAATGCTATGAGTGCCCCGGCTACAGTTGGACATAACAGTATTTCCTCAAATCCTCAAAGTACAACTGGTGTACATAATAATGATGTATCTGTTTCTGTTGTCCAATCGGCTAATAAACACAATACCGGTGCTACATATTTTCAGTATCAGGCTTCAAACTTTTTAACTCCACAACTACCTCCACCAAGAGCTCCAGCTCCACCTCCTCCAGGAACACAATCACAGACTGGTGCCACAAATACAAATACACCGACATCTGTCCATTTCAGTATGACAGAAGCATCGTTTAACATGCAATCTTTCAATCAGTCAATTCACATGCCATTAAATGGTGATATAATTCCAGAATCAGGTGTACATTATGAGATAAACGGTGATGCTGAAAGTCCAACTGCTTACACAACACTCAGAAATGCAAGTCCCAATGAATTTTTGATAAACGACGCTGGTCATTCATCAGTTAACTCCTACAATGCTTCACAAAATGCAGCGCTATTTTCTAAAGTTAATTTAGACGATCAGCCTATGAAAGCCATAGAATATCCTATCTCTCAACTGAGGTAATTTAGTCTGTTTATGTATTATTATTAGTGAGATACCATAAATTTATTTTTTCTTATGTATTTCCGGTAGGGTCTTAATCAACAAAATGCCCTCAGTAACAATCGAATCCAAGTGGTAGGAACAGTTTTAGAAGGTCAACATAACTTTTAAATACGATCGAAACATGAAAAATCCATTGTATTGAGAAAGAATTTAATCGAATCTTAACGACTGGAGAATGCGGATTATTCAAATGCTTCTCAGTTCTAATTTATTCATAATCTCATGTGTCTGAATGAGATGCCTTGGCATCATGCCTTGTACTATCAACCGATAGATACTCATCTCGATGATAATACTGGCTGGCGATCGCCTTATATATATTGCGAATTGCTAGAAATTATAACTGATGCAGCAGTGGATACTGACCCAGTCACTAAACAGTCTACGTACTCATATTAATAGATGTGTAAAACTTGGGCACTGTGGTAGTAAGTAATTCCATATTAGTTTGTTTATTGGATGTATCACACAGTCAGTGAAACAGTATTATTTACTGGATGACGTTTCGAACAAAATTTATTCTTCATAATCATATCGCCAATTATAATCACACGACTTCGAAATCTGAGTTTTATAGTTTTCTTTGTTCTCTCCTATTTGTCGTCTGTGGGGTAGTAGAATTTTCCAGATATCTGGATGGACAGGTGTTGAATCATTCCTATTACATGTGTTCTCTCTCAGTTAATTCGATAAACAAAGCTTCTGTTACCAATCTCTCCCTTCACCCAGCTGTTACATGATGTTTTAAAACTGTCATCTTATCCCATCCATCCTATTGTCTGGTTGTGTGTAATTGCATGTAGTGAGTGGTATAGCTGAATTATTCTCTAGATTTCTTATTTTATTCGGGTCAACCAATCTAGATTTTACTAGGTTTCTGTGCTACACTAGTCTGGCTGCCCTGTTTTACTACTTTGACCTGACAACCTCGGAACCTCGGGAACCTTACGCAGAATTCTTAACAAGGCAGGAATAAAAGTGGCTGGCATTCAAACCCACAAACTCAATTAGAAACAAGCTTTGTTGGCTAAAAGATCCTGCCTGTGGAGCCTTTAAAACAAAACAGTTTAGTTTATCTAATACCCTGCAATGATTGTCAGATCAAAGTTGTAGAATAGAGGCAGTCAGACTAGCTGAACATAAAAACCTAGCAGCAAAATCTAGATTGGTTGACCCGAATAAAATAAGAAATCTAGAAAATAATTCAGCCATAGCACTACATGCAGTCACACACAACCATACAATAGGACGGGATAGGATGACAGTTTCGAAATCTAATGTAACAGCTAGGTAGAGGGAGAGATTGATAACAGAAGCTTTGTTTATCGAATCAACTGCAAATACGTGTGATAGGAATGATTCAACACCTGTCCCATAAATCTGGAAAATTCTACTACCCCACAGACGACAAATAGGAGAGAACAAAGAAAACTATAAAACTGAAGTTTCGATATGATATGATTATGAACACAAATTTTGTTCGAGAGTCTTACGAGCTCGCCTTGTGACTTGAAGGCCATGGTTTCGACCCGTGATGGGGTCAGGGATACGTACTACGGAAGAGTTACAAACAGGGACGAAACAACTGTCCAGTATTCCCTAGTTCTCAGTTTTTCTCTAGCTGAAGTCAATTCGTGATCAACCAAATCCCTTCAAACCAATACTTGAAAAACTTGACCTAAGTTTAAGTTGTTGACTGTACACACTCAACAGTAAGACCACAACGAATTTAATCCGAGTAGCTGTATGAGTCATTCATTTCCACTTTAAAATAGTTTGAAGCTTTATTTTCACACTTATAAGATTTAATATGCGGATAAACAACACAACTGTCGACTGTTTAGGACTCTCGTGTAGTGGAGTTCAACCGATATCCTAGGTGGTATCATGAATCACATATTTTGACACGTTCTATGGCAATTTCCTCCTAAGTATGCTCTTCTTTTGCCGTTATTCCACTAGATTCGGAAAACAATTCGGACAGGGAGTCTTTGGACCAGTCTACAAAGCTGAACTACTACCGAACAGTGCTTACGAGAATGGTCATCCGATGTCAGTCATTGTGAAAACTTTATCAGCCGGTTCACCAGCTAGTCTGCAAGCGAATTTTCGCAGAGAAGCGAATTTAATCGCTGAATTAGATCATCCAAATGTATTGAGCCTTTTAGGCGTTAGTGTGCAACATCCACCATGGTGTATGATTTTTGAAATTCGACAGTATCTTGATCTCTGTGAACTTTTATCTTCAAGAAGATCCATGGTGAATCAAATCAATGTGACAAGTGTCACTTATCCAAACGGTGTAACCACTAATCCTCCGCATCCTTTAAGTGAATCAGAAATTTGGAGGGTATTGTCACAAGTTGCCGCTGGAATGGATTACCTATCTAGCCATCGTTTCGTTCATCGGGATTTAGCTGCACGAAATGTGATCATTTTAAATGATCAACTTTTCTGTAAAATTACTGATCTCGGTCTGGCACGTGATTGTTATGCAGCAGACTATTATCGTTTACATCCTCACAGTTTAATGTTACCGATCCGTTGGATGCCGCTTGATTCAATTATTTACGGTAAATTCACTATTGAATCCGATATCTGGGCATTCGGTGTTCTGATGTGGGAAGTTTGGTCCGGTGGTATGCGACCGTATTCTGCATTCAATGACCCAGAGGTATTAGATCTTATACGCTCTAGACAATTGTTATCTTGTCCACAGCATTGTTCAACCAATGTCTATATGTTTATGACTAGCTGTTGGAATGAAGAAATTGAAAGACGCCCAACATTTAAAGACTGTTTAAATCAAATACAAAATTGGTATTCTGATGCTCCAATCATACCAGCGATGTATTCCAATGAACAAGTGTTCCCTTATTCTCAGGTTATGGATAATAAAAGTGATTTTCAACAGATGAAAAGTAGTATTAACAGTAGTAATAATAACAGCAGTAATAATAATAATAATATTAATAATAATAACAGTAATAATGGCACAGAAAGTCTGTCCGAAGCATCAAAATCCAATCTGTCAACACGACAGAATTGTCCGTGTGCATTTAGTACAAACAACTATCTAACATGTCCTAAAGAACATCTGAATAAAGCGTGTACACCAGATCCTTTCGATATATTCCACCAACCGATTAGTACTTCTGTTACTAACTATCACCAGAATTCCAGTCCAGAAAATACAATCATGAATACTAAGTTTAGCTTAATGCATCAACCAGTTAATCAGGTAACAGGAACCGGTGTAGCAACGTTAACACCGATGATGACAGCAGCATCAGCAGCAGCAGTAACAGCAACAGCAACAACAACGTCAACAACTGCTTTGCTGAACACGTCAACAGGAAGTCAAGATCCAAGAATAGATCATTGTAAATCATCATCTAATGGACTGGGTATGCGTCTGTTGCCGAACACAACGACAATGTTTATTCCTACAGTCAATTCTGTCAGTTAGGATTCTTTTTTTTTCAAAGAAAATGGCAAAATATTTAGAGGATATTTACAGATCTTTCAATTTAATAGAAGTTTTTTTCGTTCTTTTTTTTTCATTTCACTTCCGTGAAATGTTTCATCATTTTGTACTGGAAAAACGTGTGTACAAAAAAAATAAAATAAATCATTACAACAGTTTTGATATTATTTATTTCAAAATGAAATACGGTATTATTATTATTATAACTATTATATTTATGCGGTTTATTTGAATTTCGGATCTGTATTAGTTACCGTTGTTGTTGTTCTAGCAACACAATGTACGATGCTGATGTTTTTGAGGGAAGGGAAGAAATCTCTCTCTGTCGCTGTAAGTGTGTTTGTCTCTCGCTTACAATTTCATCTTTATAACCTCTGTCCATGTTTAAAGACAATATAAGCACAAAGACTACTGGCTGATTTCTCCACTTTTCAAATCACTTCCTTTGTAAATATATCCAGTTTCATATTTTTTTTTCTAAAAAAAAACGCAGTCAGCTTTCGTTTTGATGCGCATTCACTTACCTACTGTTTAGTTGTACAAGAGAATTTGTGTTCATATAAGAGCGAGCGAGCTAGCGAGCGAGCAGAAGAAGACGAGATATGAATTGCGTCTACAAATACCAGATAAAGTAATTTGTAGAATGTGTAGTTGTTGTTGTTTTTTTCTCTCCGCATTTCTTTTCTCCTGTTTGGGTATTTAGCTCCTGAAGAGTTTGCGTATCATGTTCTTCCTTCCACTTTTATTATTATTCTCATTGAACAATTAAATTAAAATTTCCAACATTCAATATGAGAACAGAACATTTTACAAAATAAATTCTTGTGGTTTTGCAAACTGCTGTTGTTTTCTTTTCCATACATTAACTTTGTGTTCAACTGGCTCATACAACAAACGAGTACTCTGATTGCATACACTATGAATGTGTGTACCGGGTTGATAGGCTGCGATTATTCAAGAGTTTTAATATTCATAAATACAACACAATGGATTGAGATAGACGGACAACAGCTCTGGAGCACAACCCTGACTGGCTGGATTCAACATAGAACTTGGCACTGAAGAGCAGCAGTTCGAGCTGCCACGTTCCAAATAGCACACAAAGGTAGACAAAAAAATGAATGAAGAGAATCAATAGAGCTCTGACAAGTATAAGAGTGAAACAGAATGAGTAATGGTAGAAAGGAATATGAACGATTACAGAGACTGAATACATCTGCGTAAGCCATTGACAACGATTTTGAGCCATGTCACCTATTGTCTCCAGCCATTGATTCTTAGAGTCTCGAGGGCGGGCCCCAACCCGGAAGTCTGCATCTCCCTACGTGACTCAGTTTAACTGTCAAGGATTTCATGGATTGATGAGGCAATGTTTTTGTTTGGCCACCACTTACTCTTTTCCAACCTGCACCTATATCAGCTAGTAATGCCCGTCGGGGGAGACGATGGTTAGGCATGCACAGCACGTGACCTAGCCATCTCAAACTATGTAACTTTATAGCCTCTTCGAGTGATTTTCCCTCTTTGCCCAACACTCTACGCCTAACGTCAACATTACTTACCTTATTATGCCACCTAACGTGAGAAAGAGATCGTAGACATCTATGATCAAAAACAGACAACCTTTTCATGTCTTCAACTCGTATTGGCCATGTTTCAGAGCCCAAGAGAAGGACGGAACGAACTGCTGAGCAGTATACACGTCCCTTGGTTGATAGTCGGATGTCACGCCTATGTCAGAGATGGTGTAAGTTAGCGAAAGCAGCCCGAGCTTTTTGGATCCGTGGTGAGATTTCGTCACCAATCAATCCGTTGGTGCTGATACAACTTCCCAAATAGCTGAAGTAGTCAACATATTCTATCACTTCACTCCCTATCACTAAGCTAGGTGTAGACGTAGTCCAGTCCTGTAGCAGCATCTTACATTTTACAGGGGCGAATCGCATACCAAACATACGAAGATTGCTGCTCAAGGTGTTCAGAAGACTCTGTATTTTGTCGGCATCCTCCCCTAACAGGACTATGTCATCTGCATATTCGAAGTCCATAAGACTATTCCCTGGTAACAAGTCGATTCCTAAGTCGTTAAGTTCAGTTAAGGATACCTCCATTAGCATATCTATGATGAAGTTAAACAGGAAAGGGGAAAGTGGACATCCTTGACGGGCACCACTGGTTGTTATCAATTCAGATGACAATTCCCCATAAGCCCTTACACGGCTACGTGAGTTTGGGTAGAGTGCCTTGATTAGTGCAATGTACTTTCTTGGCACTCCCTTCACAGTCAAACATTGCCATAGTACCTTTCGATCCACGGAGTCGAAGGCCACATTCAAGTCAAGAAATATGGTAATTGTTGGATGCCGAAAAGTGTGTCTATGTTCTAGGATCTGTCGGAAAGTGAAGATATGATCTGTGCACCCTCTACCTGGCCTAAAGCCTGCTTGATTTTCCCTCGTTTGTTCCTCCCGAGTTCGGCTTAGTCTGTGCATGATTACTGAGCCTAGGATTTTAGAGACTATGTTCGTCAGGCTGATCCCTCTATGATTATCACATGAGGACTTGACAACCCTGACTGCAATATTAGAACTTAAATATATTTAAAAACAAAAAAATGCAACTGTGATTTCATTTTCACAGCTGTGCAATCGTATGTGTGTTAAAGTTTGACAGTGAGTGGAATTACTAAAGTGAGATATTATTGGTGTATAGGATTATGAGTCACAATTGAATTCATTAGATATATGAATGAATAACTAAATGCATAAATATAGGTCAGCCTAACGTTCGTTCGAAAAATAAAGCACATTCGGAAATGTGAATATACTGTGATGGAAATGTAGAGTGAGTGAAATGTTGTTAAAGTGATAGACTAGATAAAATGAAATAGAACAAAAATGGAACACGGAATAAAGAAGGATAACAAGACCACGGCAACGAAAGAGATCGTACAAATTGTTTTTGTACAAAAAGTACTGGCTTTACGTTTTATATATTGCCAAAGCCTCTGCTATACAAAGCAGATGCATTCGTGTCCCTTTCGGCAAACTTTGTCGACTATGTTAAACGACGTGTCAGATGCTGCGTGGTCAGTATCTACAATATGTTACAATATCGATGAATTAATACCTCCACGTTCTCCTTTGCTCAACCAAACTGGGAGGTGCTCTCGAACGTGGCGGCATATATATTTCTCGATGAACGTCCTATGTACCTAGCTCCGCAAGGGCAGGTGAACATATAAATACACATGGAATTAGACAATAGGGGTAACATTTCCTTGACATTAAGGTGCACCAGTGAACGGCTAGAGGTTATTCGTAAAGTGGCAGCAAACAACGTTTTGCCGAATGATCTCGTCAAACGAATTTTAAGTATTTCACTCGCAGTGTCACCCTTAAATTCTAGGTTTAGGTGCAAAACTTTTCTAGCTACCTTATCAATCAGTGTATTTCTCCCACGTACTTTGCTATTGGCCTCTACGAACCGTAATGGATACCTGTTCTCTATGAAGGCTTCTTTCAGTTATTTGAGTTCAGCTTCACCACAAATTCTCCACACTTGTGCTGAGACAGAAGGGATTAGATTCCTTTTTCTGTCTGTGGGGAAAAAACTGTAAACATCGGTCTGAACGCGGGTGCGGAGAATTTATAGTGAAGATAGTGTTGATAACGAACTCAAACAATTGTGACTAATAATCCTATAGACCGATATTATCGCACTTTATTATTCCCACTCACCGTTAAACTTAAACAAACACACTCAAGAAAACTGATTGCTTTTGTCTATTGTAATTCTTATGTATATATATATATATATACATATATATATATATATGAGTAATCTACTTCATTCTAAAAACAGTACTTGTAATACAGAATGGAATTCTGAGCATTTGTCACAATATTGCATCTGATTTACTCAAAATAGTAATAAAATTAAAAATTAAAACAAAATTAACCAGAGTAATTTGTCCACATTTACGATATAAAGTCAAAAATATTCGAAGTACGAATTGAGAATAGTAATAATAATAATAATAATAACAGTGAGTTTTTTTCAAACAGCATTGTCGATTCAGTCTGGAAATTCTAGCATGTTATAGATTATTGAATCTAATGTTCTGTTGATATAGCAGCATGGTGAGGGGAAACGCAAAATTAACAGTTATGACACAGCTTAAATGATGTTCACATTTATGAAAAAATAGACAAATAAAAACAAAGAATTGAGAGGATTATAAATATAAGAAGAACAATAAGAATAAAGCTTTATGTTATAAGGATGGAGGAAATGGTTTATTTCCTGGTGCAAAGAAGGTTAGTTAGTTAGTTCATGCCTAACACTATTTTCACCACATAAAGTCCGTGCCGCCAAATATTGTATAGTTGGATTTTTATACTTAGACGTACGTGCATAAAGTCTTCTGGAAAGACTTCTTGTTTTACCTGAGGAGACACAAGGTTGGAGCTGCGGGTGCTCCGGTGGATGCTCACAGTCTGACAGAATTCCTTTAGCAAATTTGTTGCATGAAATCAAGTGCCTGTGAACGACAATGTCAACGATATGGCCCAATGGAATAGGATACCGTTACTCGCCCTACTTACAGTCTTCAGAGTTCTATGAAGTATGACATAGTCTTTTTTAAGCAATCCAGGTAAGAATAAGAGTGAACAATAAGAAAGTATAGGTAAGATGGACGAGTTGACAAACTGTAAAAGGAGGAGGGATTGAATTATAACTGAGTGCCTTAACTTCTTAATGTAAAATGTCAGACGAAATATTTTATTTAGAAATTGCTAAGACATTGGAAGATCAGGATTGATGAGAAGAAAGAATTACTCCAAGATATTCAACGTCTAACTTGGTTTCAATATCACTATCATCAATTTTACATCGGAAACGGAAATTATCAGTCTGACATTTGGAAGAATTTAGTTTAAGACCATTAGACGAAGACCATTTGCTGTTCATCTCAGTACAGTCCAACTGGGAGTTAACAGACATTGAAACACTTAGATCGTCCGCATAATTACCAAATTTCATTTCATCATCAGAGTGAGGTACGTCATGCAAGAAGAAAGAAAACCGAATAGGAGAAAAAATAGCGCCTTGAGGGTTACCAGCCTCAGTTAGCGATGAAGTGGACGACTTCCCCTAACATACAGTGTAGTGTTTTCTTCCTGAGAAATAAAAAAATGCAGCCAGTTGACAACCCAACAGTCAGTTTGAGTTTCAGTAGGCTTGTTTAACAAAATGTCCCTAGGTATTGAGTCAAAAACAGATGTATAATATATATATATACGCTTGTACAGCTATGAAAATGAAATCGTCGAAAACAGAATTTTCTTCGCTGAATTCTTTGTTTCTACGTCTCATTGGGGATTATTAATTTAATTAAATGTATCTCTTGAACAATTCAATATTTACCTGTGTTATTTCAGTAAAAGACATGGTAGTATAAATTCTACAAGTAAATAACTTCAAAACAGTCGAGGTGATTTTTGAATGAGTCTAGTTGTTACTCTCTTGTCTAACTATAATAATATCTATTAATGTGATGTGATAGGTACTGTTAATTACTGATAAGCAATCGTGTTAGCTGTAAAAGATCACTGTTCAATTATATAACTTTAAAGTGTAGAGATTACAGTTGACCGGAATTTTTAAAATGGGTCGAAAACGCTAACTTACAAGAAGTGACTTCATATTGTTTTTGAAAAGAACTTGTGTGCACTGTGTAGCTCAGTAAAACTCTCAAAAGCGAAAGAAGGCATATCATGACCTGCTTGGATCACTAGGCTACCAGAATTTCCATCTACCAAAATGT